CAGGAATGATTTACCTCAGAATGCTGAGCTACACGATTGACCAAGGAGCAAGGAGCCAAGCACATGGAAAATAATTGGGGGAACACATTTTGCCTCCTTTTCCACCCTTTGGGGTCATGTTTCTTCGAAATCTCTTCATAGTTGAGATGATGTCATGGTACGAATGCCCTCCAATTGGGGGAACACATTTTGCCTCCTTTTCCACCCTTTGGGGTCATGTTTCTTCGAAATCTCTTCATAGTTGAGATGATGTCATGGTACGAATGCCCTCCCCTCATTTTGGGCTTCTTGGTGCAGGGTTAGACCTGGGCATTGAATTTTTTTGGGGTGCAGGGCATACCCTTTTTTTAAAAAAATGTCTCTCATTTATGTTACATTTAAGAAGTGGGACATAACTACGTATTCAAAACTACATCTGCGCAATCAGATATTAAGCAAGTTCATATGAACCAATTTTCTAGAACCCACATTGTGAGAAGTTAAATAACCTAATACAGGAAACCACTTTTCTGCAAATTTGGGGTATATTTTCATAGTGGGTGGGAGTGTGGCTAAAGCCATTGGGGAGGCTGGGCCAGCAGCATCGCTAAGATGATCCTGCTGGGATGGCCTCCCAGATGTGAAAAAGTACTATGGCCCTGCTCCTACATCTGACAGACACCCGCCTCTCTGATGTAAGGGGGGCATTGTGTTTAAAGGCATTGGGAAGGTTGGGCCCACAGCAGCTCTAAAGATGTAAGGGGGGCATTGTGTTTAAAGGCACTGGGGAGGTTGGGCCCACAGCAGCACTAAAGCAATCCTGCTGAGCAAGCCTCCCACCTCTCTCTCCTACACCTGTCAGGCAGCTGCCTGTACAGTGTAGGAGGGGGAGAGGTATAGCAAGCCATTGTGGAGGCTGTACCAGCAGGATCACTAAGGTATTACTGCTGGGGTGGGCTCCCTGATGGCTTTAACCACCCTGCACCTGCTACTGCACCTGACAGACAGCTGCCTATCAGGCGTAGGAGGTGGGGGGGAGTATGTTTGAAGCCATCGGGGAGGCTGGGCCAACAGCATTGCTGCACCTCACAGTTGGTTGGCCATTCCTGATTTCCTCAACTGTCATTAGCTCTGTACAGGCTCCTGTAACTGTTCCCCCTCCTCAGAACACTGAGCTCTGCAGCTGACCAATGAGAGAGTGGGGAGTGCAAGGAGGCAGCAGCCTGGCAGCCACAGAGGAAGCAATGGGGAGAGCACATTGTACCCCTTTTGATCCTCTTAGGAGATCAAATTTCTAAAAATCCCTTCTTCGTGAGCATCTATGTCATGGTAGGAGTGCTGTCACCGAATGTCATGTTTCTAGATCCAGGAGTTTGGCCTGGACATTGACTTTAAGGTGAGGGGGCTTTCTTTTCTATATATAGATAGGATTCTGAGCCCATAGAGCAGAATGGGAACTCTGTGATTGGCAGCTGACACTGTCTGTTAAGCCTACTGGTGTTTCCATTACTGGAGAATTCTGACCCCCCTATTGCACTGGATTTTTGTAAACAGTTTAATTGAGTGGTGTCCATCTGTCTGGAAAGTTGTCTATTCACAAACCACAACAAACTGCTATGAACAGGAGTAAAAGTTCACAAACCATGAACCAGCCAAAATTCATCATGAACTTTAGTTCATGAGCCATTTCATGTCCATCCCCTAGTCCACAGGCTCAACAAGATTGGGACCCTTTGTTAAGATTGTAGCTATGCATTGCAGCATGGTAAGCCTAGTGGGAAAACAATCAGCCTGGGAAGAACTAATAAAACCAGTCTTTAAAAATAGGTGCATATGGCCATGGTGGATTATATTTCTTAATATCAGTGACATAATGGCGAGTACAATTGGTGCTTCTAAAGTCACACAGCCATCACACACAATATCTCCACAGCAATGGCAGCATTAGACAGGAGAGGAGATCTCATTTAACCAGAAGCATTGAAATAGACATGGATGACTGAAGAATTATAATTAATGATAGGAGCTGAAAGCAATAACTGCTTACCATTTTAATATGGTATAGGTACCCCTTTAATACACACCTATTTCCCCCCTCATGATTGTGTTGAGACTGTTTTAACCATAATGATTGCATCTGTGCCCTGTTTGAATCTGAGGTGTGTCTGTTTGTGGATTGCATACTGTTTGCCTTTTTATTAACCACCATTTGAAAATGCCTTACTTTGGAGAGTGTACAAAAAAGCAATCGGTATTCTGATTTGTCCTTTTGCTTCTTAATCTCTCTCCAGACTGATACATATGATAGCCTTGCATTTAAAGGATTTCCAACCTGCTGTTTTCATTTGTTGCAGTCAGGAGTCATGCGTGTGAACCAGACCTATATGGAATGCCAGGGGGATGCTCACACATCTGTCTGCTCAGCAGCAGCTACAAAACCAGAACTTGTCGCTGCAGGATGGGCTTTGTCTTGGGAAGTGATGGCAGGTCATGCAGAAGTATGTTGTTTAAAATCAAATGCTTCGCTAGCAGCTAATATGTCAGAGTGGAATCCTGAGTGTTAATTAGCATCATCATCAACAGCCACAGCAGCACTAACCAGCTTTTCTAGTCAGTTATATGTGCTTGGCAATATGTACCTGCCATTTTGCTCACATGCCATTTTTTTAAATTCCCTTTTGTAATCTGTTGGCTGGCACCCTTCAGCAACAGAGGTGAGTAAATGAGACTTGTGGCAGCATTGTGATAAACAACAGCAACCTACCATTTGGAATCTCCAGCTACATCTTGTTATCCTTGTCTCCTATGATGTGCTGCAGTGATGGTCTTTGTTATAATCCTACTATATCCTTCCTGAGTTGCATTAAGGGCTTTCGATCATCATTAGTTTTTAACCTTAAAATGTCCCAGGGCTTCCTGACTTTTGTTGCCTTTTTAAAGTAATCTGAATTTGGCCTGTGCAAATTATAGAAGGCTTTTAAAATAATTAGGTGTCACTGAAATCATGTTCATTTATAGCCAAAAACATTAACTACAGTAGATTTTATTTTTCCAAAATGTGCTCAACAAAAAAAATCGAGTAATTTTATAGAAGTATTTTCTGGCTTTGGCCAGTAGCAGTGATATGCTTAAAGCTAAAACAGTACAGTTATTTTCTGATCTTGGCTAAAATGGAAACATATCCACAGTGAATAAAAGCTAGTGTGCTGTAGATAGCTAGAGGAAATGATAGTATACTTACAAAATACATTTGTGCTATTTTACCATGGGATGATAGATCCAGTATGGCAGCTATGTTGATCTGAAGCAATAGAACAAAGTTAGAGTCCAGTAGCACCTTTAAGACCAACAATGTTTTATTCAAGGTATGAGCTTCCGTATGTAAGCATACTTCCTCAGATACATTGAAATGGAAGTTAACAGTTCATATATGTAGACAGATGCCTCTACACAGGTGAACAGCAAAGTAGCATACAACTTAATGACAATGCTTAGACATATGCAAAGGCCCATTTCAATTTATCTGAGAAAGTGTGTGTGCACACGAAAGCTCATACCTTAAAGATGCCACTGGACTCTAACTTTGTTTTATTATGATGAGATAAGAATGTGCTGGTTGCATTGTTTTTCAGAGGACTCTAACCTGAAGTCTGGTTGTCGCCCAAATTTCCCTGCAGTGTTTTTCTGAATCCGCATAGCCTGTCAGATCTCCAGTGGCCATTCAGAAACCTTGCTGGGCACAAGCCCCATCAGGCTCTGCCCACTTTCTAAAAACACTTGGCAGGCAACAGGACAGGTGCCAGGCACCTTGGTACCCATAGGTACCGTGCTGGAGATCTCTGAACTAACTGGTGTTCATGATGTTAAGACATATGTTTTAAAAACAGCCAGGAAGGTATGTATAAAGGGAAATGAAACATAAGGTCATATTGGAATAAATTTTGACCTTTAAAGTGCCACTGGACTTCTGTTTTATTTTGCTACAGTAGACTAACATAGCTACCCCTCTGTATAAAGGTAGATTGGAATGCCTTTTTAAAGGCATTAGATTTTACAAACAAACAATATAACTGATACCTGTATGATGTACGTTCATGTGGACAGAATAAATCAGTTCTACTTAGCAAAATACTTTGCCTTCTATTGCTGTGCTTTAGACTCTGGTTTCAGAAGAAGGATCTTGGCACAGTCTAGACAATCTGCTGATGTTTACAGTATTGTGAGAGTTAAAAGATGTCACATGCTTCCTGCAGCAACCAGTAGATCTTAATGAACTGTAAAATGTTTGCAAGATTATATATGCCCATTTTACTCTGCCTATAACATTATCCTCTGAACTATTGAGGTTTTGCAGTATGTATTGCTACGAAGAAGGCAGTGATTAATTAGATGTAGTTCAGTCACAGGAGTAATTTGTGTTTCAATTAAGATAATGTAATTAACCAATCATCTTAAGTTTAGATACATTTAGAATATTTGAGAGTTTAATTTCTAGGTATTGAATTTAAACCCCCCCCCCATTATACCAGATAATTAAAAAGTGACAGTACTTACAGTATTTATTGTAAAGAAATTAGGCAGTAATGGTGGTTTATCTTTGTAATCTTTATTGTGCAGGACCAAAGAATGAGTTGTTCCTGTTTTATGGAAAGGGACGCCCAGGAATCATCCGGGGAATGGATCTGAATAGCAAAGTAGCTGATGAATACATGATCCCCATAGAAAACCTTGTCAATCCTCGAGCTCTGGACTTTCATGCTGAGACCAGTTACATATATTTTGCTGACACTACTAGCTTCCTGATTGGGCGTCAGAAAATTGATGGCACAGAGCGTGAAACGATCTTAAAAGATGGTAAGTGAAAATCAGAAAGATTTCGCTAGTGGGGAGGAAATTATCTGATCGAAACTGGGAAGTTTTGCCCAAATGTTTTAGGAATGTGGCATTTACAGTGTTGCTCCTCTAGTTTAAAATTATTTTTATTTCATACTTTCATAATACATAGCTATGTATTTTTCTATTTTCAAACTTTAAAATGATCAAAACTGGGAAGTTTTGCCCAAATGTTTTAGGAATGTGGCATTTACAGTGTTGTTCCTCTAGTTTAAAATTATTTTTATTTCATACTTTCATAATACATAGCTATGTATTTTTCTATTTTCAAACTTAGAAAAACATATAAATGTTCTAAAGCGTGCTTGGTAGAGGTGCAAGAACATTGTTGCAAAGTACACTTTGTTGTTAGTATAAGCATCTTTCTTTAGTGCATGGTTTCATTGTGCATGCCCAGATACACCCCGAAACCCCTTTTGTCTATAAACGGAAGGCAACAAGTGGTATCAAACTCACAAAGGAGCATATTTCCAAGATATCACTAGTGTAAATTGTACACACCAAAGACATTTTTCAGACAATCATCTCACTACCTTCACTCATCAGCAAGTTATATCTAGAAATATGTTTCAAAGAAAAGACTTCAACTGTGCTACTCAAACCACATTGGAATTAAATTTTTTCTAGCTGATAACATTTTGCTGTACTTTATCTCCTTTGCTGAGTTGACTAATAGTACAGTACAGAGGTTATTGTTGTTGTTATCATTTTGTAACTTGATGGTTTTATTTCATGGAAATTTCATTGCATGCATTAATACACTAATGGGATTTTCTTCAATTGCTATTGGAGACTTTTTTAACAATAGGAAAGAGATTATATATACTTTCTAAATACAATTAAAACATATGTTTAAGTAAAACATGAGCATTGTCAATACATAATAGGTGTACTATTCTCTCATTTAAATTGTAGATCAGGTTCAAAAACCCTAACCCCACCCCCCATTTATGATAATGATATTCTGGCTTTTCCCTTTAAATAAGTATTCTATACAGAGGTTTTGGAAGCAAACTTTTATGTTTTCAATAGGTAAAAAGAATATAGGAATAAAGGGTAAAGTCACAGAAATATATTAAAATAATTTATTTATTTAAAGTATCATTTTATTTCATGGAAATTTCATTGCATGCATTAATACACTAATGGGATTTTCTTCAATTGCTATCGGATACTTTTTTAACAATAGGAAAGAGACTATATATATTTTCTAAATACAATGAAAACATACGTTTAAGGAAAACATGAGCATTGTCAATACCTAATAGGTGTACTATTCTCTCATTTAAATTGTAGATCAGGTTCAAAAACCCTAACCCCACCCCCCATTTATGATAATGATATTCTGGCTTTTCCCTTTAAATAAGTATTCTATACAGAGGTTTTGGAAGCAAACTTTTATGTTTTCAATAGGTAAAAAGAATATAGGAATAAAGGGTAAAGTCACAGAAATATATTAAAACAAGTGGAGACCCGCAAGAAACTTGCGGGATGGTTATCCTATTCCTCACGCCTTTGGTTCCTCCTGTCTCCCCCTACCTCTCTCACACTCTGTCTCCCTTCTGCCCCCCCTTTCTTTCTCTCTCTCCTCCATGTATGGTTTGGAGGTTGGAGTCTATGGCATTATACTGGTCTGTAGTTTCTCCCCTCCTCAAATCCCACCCTCCCCAGGCTCCACCCCTCAAATGTCCAGGAATTTGCCAACCTGGAATTGGCAACACAATTTCCTTCCCACCCAACAGCCAACCTACCTTTATCTGCCTCTCTGTCTTCAACTTTCCGTCTCCACACCCCTCCCCCACAGCCTCTACCTAGGAAAGTTACAGTCTTTCTCCACAGTGGGGACCAAAGCAGCTTACATTATTCTCTCCTCCTTTTTATCTGCACAACAACCCTGTGAGGTTGGCTAGGCTGAAAGTATGTGACTGGTCCAAAATCACACAGTCAGCTTCCACTGCAAGATGGGGATCTGAACCTGGGTCTCGCAGACCCTACTCTGAAGCTCTAACTGTTACATCACACTGGCTTTCATAGGGTGGCTGCTGATGAACTGTAGCAAGCAGCTGGGCCTACTTGAATCATGCAAATCAGGTGGTATCAAGTCACCCAGAGTGTGCTGTCTAGGGATGCCAGCCTCCAGGTGGGACCTGGGGATGCCTGGAATTACTGCTCATCTCCAGACTACAGAGATAACTTCCCATGGAAAAAATGGATGCTTTGGAGGGTGGACTCTGTGACATTGTACTCCACAGAGCCCCCTGAATTTTGATTTGTTGGGGGGGGGGGAAGAGTGATGTCCATGTTCTTCCTCCTCAACTTCATAGCAACCCAACTTGTTGCCATTATGGCAGTGGCAACCACAACCAAGAGTAGGTGGTATCTGGAGCTCTCCCTCTATTACAGTTGACCTCCAGATTACCAGGATCCACCCTCCTGGAAAAATGGCCGCTTCGGAGGGTGGACTCCAAAGTGTGTCATCACCATGATTGATAGGGTTTCCAACCTCCCGGTGGGGCCTGGAGACCTCCCACTATTACAACTTATCTTCAAACAGTAGAGAACAGTCTCCCTGGAGGAAATGGCTGCTTCTGAGGGTGGACTCTGTGGCATTAGACCCAGCTGAGGCCTCTCCCTTCCCAAACCCAGCCCTCCACAATATCTCAAGAAATCCCCCAGCCTGGCACTGGCAACTCTTGTGAGGCCTGGCCCTATGGCTCCCTCCCTCCTTCCCTCCCTCCTTGAAAGGCCAAAAGAGGCCAGGAAAGGGCCCTTCCCCCACCCTTCGACTCACAGAGCCAGTTAGAAGCCTCTTCCCCCCCGCCCTGAACATTCTAATCTCTCTCTCACCATTGATGCCTGGAGTTAGATCCCTGCAGAGGCCATTTCAAAAGGTATTGGGGGGAATTCAGCCGTCCCTGGAGGGATTTTTTAACTTTTTGGATTTTTCTGAAGACACAGATAGTCTACTGACTATGTAGGAAAAGCTGTTGGGGCAGAGTGAGCTTCCTGTTAGTGGAAATAGGTATCCGCACACGGCGCCCTCTGTTGGAAATTAGAATATAAGATAATTTATTTATTTAAAGTATCAGTTTTTTGAATGTTTGTAAGTAAGTAAACCATCAGCTGTATTCAAGAGTTTGATCAGACACAATTGGGTATTTTGCAGGATCCTCACCACCACCAAAAAAGGATTATGTGAAACCGTAAGAATCACCTTTTGGGATGTTTGCTTAGTAATGTCAGAGTTGCAACCAGTTTCCATTGCTAGGACAGTAGTATATTTAAAAACAGTACAAAAAAGACGTATTACTTATGTCATCATCTGGGCTGTGCCACCAGAGGCCTACTAGGCCCAAGGAGCCTGGCTAGCAGTAGGTGAGGCTGGGCCTACAACTCCCAGAAGCCCCTGGGAGGTTTGGGAGCCAAAATGGACCAATAGAAAAAGAGGAGGGCTGGGAATAAAAGTTCTGGACCAACAGGAAGAGCTGTTCTTTCTTCCAGAGGGCAGAGCGAGAAGAAAGGCTGCTGCAGGGGAAAAACCCTCATCCTGGGGGAAGGGTGAGTAGTGTAAGGCCACTTGAGATAGTGAGCTAGGGAAAGTATATTTAGACGCGTTAGGGCATTTGATTTCTTTTCTTTTCACCCACTTACTGTTAGTATTCTGCACCTTGTTGTTTGACCTCCTATAAAATAAACCTTTTTCTTGTTTCACTCTGCCTGGTCCTCACGCCTATTATTCGGCCAAAAGGGAGGTCTGAAGGTCTTGGATGGGTACTCTGGGCCTTCTCAAGGGAACCTAAATCCAGAGTGGTGGCAGTGTCAGGTGACACCCCACCTGAGCCATGACAACTTAAATTAGAATATTATTTATTTTAAGTGTATTTCTTAAAAGGAATATACCTTTTTTTTAATTCCAGGGAAATGACTGACAGTTTTGGAATGTATGTGAGAATCACATACTAAGTTCATTCATATTTTGATCCAAATCATGGTAGACTACTTGTGTGCTTTCATAGCCTTTCCCTTCTGTTTGTCCAACGATTTTTAGAATGCAAAACTAATTACTTCTTAGATTCTTAAGAATCTTAGCTTACCTTCACTTTTTCACTCAGTTAATCTTAACAGATTTGAATATCCTGAATGCCATAAAGTGGGGATGGACTGTAAGTGAATCAGCACCATATCTAAGCCTTCTGTCTATGTTTTATGGCCAAGAGTACAAAAATAACAAGCATTTTTTACCCTGAGGTATGAAGCTGTGTTTCATAAAAGCTGTTGGAATACAATAGGACCCGGCTTGCTGCAGCGGGGACAGTTGCTGGAGGCAGGCAGGGGGGAGGAAGTGCCGGATGGGCTGGCAGGCAAGTGGGCGGTGGAGAGAGAGGGGCTGCCCAGAGCCTCCTCACTCAATGCTTCTGGTTCAGGGAGGGTTATGTGTTCAATAGGACCCGGCTTGCTGCAGCGGGGACAGTTGCTGGAGGCAGGCAGGGGGGAGGAAGTGCCGGATGGGCTGGCAGGCAAGTGGGCGGTGGAGAGAGAGGGGCTGCCCAGAGCCTCCTCACTCAATGCTTCTGGTTCAGGGAGGGTTATGTGTTCATCCCAACCCAAAGAAAAATATTCCCGATTAAATTATACTGGGAACAAATCACAATTTCCTTGCCATGTGACCACGGCCCTTCTGCTGAATCCAAATCAGGTCCAGATGTGTACCAGGAATTAATTTCCCAGCACAGATATCATAATGCATATTTGATCACAAGGACCAAAGGGAATGTAGTTTGTAGTTAAGCCTTCACTAGTGTGGAAAATCAGGTTTCTCAGTCTTCAAAAGAAATTCATTCTATATTAAATGGATGTTTTCTTCATTAACCCTGAAAACTGAATGATTCTCCTTAACCGTGAATTCTGTAAAGTAATATTTTGATCCCTTTAATGATCAAGTATCATCTAAAGAAGGAACAGCCTAAGCATCATGCTGCATAATTAACAGGACAACATTTCTGGCATCTTTTAAGGTCAACTAAGATCCTAGGATCCCTATACAACAAAGCTGGGTGCCTGCACTAGACAGTGTTCCATCTAGTTTCCTAATTCTAAAATGCTGCTACAGAACATTTGCCAATGTATTTTTCATGTTTTTAAAAATTAATATGACTTCCAGCCATATCACATCAATTGTTATTCTTGGCAGATCTTCTAGTATAGACAGGGATGAATTGCATCAGTACTTGGTGATGGAGGGAATGGCTAGCCTGTTACTATACCTGCTCAGATGACATGTGCCGATCCACTCCAAAATTGCCCTGCATAAATAAGCAACATAACTCCCACAGCCCTCATTTCTTGCTTAGGGAGCTGCTGGTTTTGGTTTTTAAGACTGGCCAAAGCAAAAAACCAACAACAGTTCATTAAAATGATCCACACACCAGTAGCAAAGACATTTGGGATCATGAAAGTGTCATTGAAAGTTGAAAGGCATATCTGAAGCCTGAATGAAGTAAAAATCAATAATGAGTACAGATTTCTGAGCAGATGAATTAGCAAGTATTAAGCAGTAAAATAATACCAAGTATCCAATACTCAACACCTAAGCACCACTAAAAAGCATATTCTTTCAAGCACCAGCACTGTAAATAAGTCACCACTTAGGCAGAGAGAGAGAGAGAGAGTTTGCCACATCGATGTTTGTGGTGGGAGTCCAACACAATTAGACAGTCCAAGTGACAGGTTAGCATGTAACTCTGAAAAGCAAAGAAGCAATGCCATGTAGCACATGCCAATGGAGGTTTAAAGCCAGCCCCAAAGGGCATTTTGGAAAGGATTTTATTCCTAGTTGAATTTGGTGCTCAGTCATAAATTCCTTTCCTGCTTCTTATAATCAACTACTAGTTGGCTTCAGATCGGTTTGTTAACTTGTGAAGTGGTGGTGGAATAGATGATTTTTTGTTTCTTTCTTTCCAGGCTTGAAAAGAGGGGGACAGGCAGATGTAGGAGCTAGGCATACATCCTGTTGGGGCATGAAGAAAAATCAATAATAAGTACAGATTTCTGAGCGGATGAATTAGGGGTGATGGCTCAGGGTCCAGGGAATAATTCCAAATAAGGTAAAAGAAGAAAGAGTCCCTGAAGGTGAAAGGGTATATGGCTGGTGAGTCAGCGGTGGCCCTCCCAGGTCAGGAAAGATATTGCACTGTCATGTATGCCCTGGTAACATCTAGATTACAGCAGTGTGCTCTGCATGGACCTGCCTTGAAAAACGTGTAGAAGCAACAGCTGGTACAGAATACTTGACGAGAAAGTTGACTGGAGTGGGTCATAGCGACCATAACCCTTTGGTGTTGTTTCTTCTACACTGGCTCCCAATTTGATACAAAATGTGAAGCTGCCTTACACTGAATCAGAACATTGGTCTATCAAGGGTATACCCACTTCAGGAACCAAGATTTACCTCATGGTGCAACATCCTCCTCATGAACCAAGATCCACCTCAATAGTACACAGACAATCCTCACCGTACTTGAATGGCAGGTAGGGGTAAGTTTGGTGACTTTAGCTTGCAGGGGGTCCATGTGACACACTCCTGAATCCGTGGCTGTGATTTCCCAAAATTGTTTTCCTGGGGGCACTTGCTTTGGGGGGCCACTACTGCCCCCCACATCCAATCCTCATCAAACTTGTAGGGCAAGTAGAGGGGCAGCCTGGGTGAGGTCCTCTGTGAGTGTGATGCTTCTAGCTTGCAGGGGTCCATTCGACACATTCCTGAACCTGTGGCTGTGATTTCCCCAGAAAGTACTTTCCTGGGGTCACCTGCTTTAGTGGTCACCTAAATCCAATCTTTACCAAACATGGAGGGCAGGTAGAGGAAAGTCAGCTGGAGAACTGTTGTAAGTTTGGCATCTCTAGCCCACAGGAGGTGTTCTCAGAAACCATGAACAGGTTCAATAAACAGGAATGTTTGTGGTTCATGAGACCCCCCAAACCATGAACTGGGATGAACCTTCATTTTCCGATTTCATGCCCATCCCTAGTTGGATGTTCTAAAGATTTTTTGTTCTAATGATCTGAAAGAATGATCTGCATGTTGCCATGTATATTTTAATTCTTTGAACAGTTATTTTTAGATATATTTATATATTTCTTCAACAACAGATGCCTCCCCTGTAGCTCTCTGGGCTACCAGTATTATCCAGAGGATTCTCTTAATTCAGAAGTTTTTGTTTTGGCATTGTGTGTGTGTGCATGCAAAATAATACGTGGACACATTGGTGCTCATTAAAATCCCCTTATTATGCCTATGCAGTAACAAGCCTGTTTTCTCAACAACATCTGTTCATAAGAGCTAATTACTAAACTTCAGTTGTTACTTTGGCCTTTTGATTTTTACTTAAAGGAAAGTATTGTTGGTTTTGCTATTTGTGAACCGCTTCTTTTGTATATAACTTTCCCCCCCATTCTTGATTCCTCTTTTACATAGCTAGACATTTGATATCCATTCTTCCACTGATTAAGTTCTAAGTGAAATTTGTTTTGTATTGGTTTTGTATTTGAGTTGTTAGGGTGTACTAATGGAGGATGTACTAAAGTAGGGTGTACTAATACTATTAATGCAGTATGTATCTATGTCTATAATACACATACACAGAATCAACACTACTGATTCCCAGACTGCTTCAGATTTAGGTTGCCAACCACCAGGTGGTACCTGGAGATCTCCTGGAATCACAACTGATTTCCAGATGACTGAGATCCCTTCCCCCGGATAAAACGGCTGCTTTGGAGGGTGGAATCTATGGCATCATACCTTGCGGAGGTCCCTCCACTCACCAAACCTTACCCTCCCAAGGCTTCTCCTGCTTATCTTTCACTGAATATTTGTGTTTTTACATTTCCATCCTATACCTTTTTCAAGGGGCTCAAGGCAACATTTTGATTTCCTAATAACCTTGACTTATCCAAGGCTATTAAGCTTCGTGACTCAAATGACTGATTCAAGTGCTACATTTGAACCAGTATGCCATGCTGACATGCCACTTAGATTCCATTATCTAAATGGTATGTAGCCAACCATATGTGGACTTTACAGAGTGGGATTCTCCTATTCTCCCCCCCCCTCTGAAAAGTTCTTCTTGAGTGTCAGCAGACCTTCAGAAACAGCACAGGAGCAAAGTGAAGATATGTAGTGGAGAGGGGAATTGGTGGAAATCACCACTCCCTCTTCTGCAAACAGACATGCCATTCCATAGAAGGAAGTACATGGTTGGATCCATGCTGTTCTATTTAACAGGTTCCTTTGTCTACATAACATGGTAGAGCATGATAACATGCTGATTCTGCAAGCAAAAATATGTAGTTTTGGAGATGAATATGCCTGGGACAACAAGCAAGATCACAGTAGAAACTTATATCTGTTCTATTTAACCATGCTTGTTCCGTTTGAATTTAACTAATTCAATTAGAATTTTATGAATGAGTTAGTACAGTAATAATATATAATATTATGGTTCTTTACACAGATCTTGATAATGTGGAAGGCATAGCAGTAGACTGGATTGGAAATAATCTTTTTTGGACAAATGATGGCTATAGGAAAACAATTAATGTTGCCAGATTAGAAAAAGCCTCTCAAAGTCGGAAAACTCTGTTAGAAGGAGACATGACTCACCCTCGAGGAATTGTTGTGGATCCAGTTAATGGGTATGGACATTTTTGTTATTTTAGTAAAATGTTTTATCTTTTTTGAAAGTATGTATAGATCAAAGTATTACATCTCAGTCTTGCACTGTTTGGTCACAGTCAATGCAGGTGCGATTCTAAATAGTTTAAGAGAGCATAATTCTGTGTTGAATTGTGGCCTCCATCCATAATTGAGGGAAGTGCAGCTAGAAGTATTTATTCCCTTTATTATGTGAGAGGTTGTTGTATGCTTTATTCCCAAACATTTACAAAAACTATATTGGGTAAAGAGTCAGTGCTAACGGGGGATATGCACAGTGTATATGATGATGGTCACACGTGGAAACATACACATTTCTCTCCAATAGGATGAACTGGAGAAGAGCAATTCCATAATGTCATTCAGCAGTTTATCCTTTAATCCCAAATACAAGTCAAGACCATATTCATCACAGTTGAATTTGAAAATAATCAGGCAGTCTTTGACTTCTCAGTTGTCTCACTAATAAGTATTTGTCTAGCTATTTTGATATTTGCATATCTTCAAGAAGCGAACTTGTGTCCTTGTGCTAGTCCCTTTAGGAGCTCAGAATAGGAATACAAACAGGGTTTTTTTCAGTCTCAAATTGATCAATAAATACAGTGTTTTAAACTGCTATACACATAACTTTGGTATTAGCCTTCATAAAAAAAAACTGTACTTCTTAGGAAGACAGCTCTGGCATGACATCTCTTTAGATGGCTAACAGACTGAGTTTAAACTAGCTATGGATTCACCTTTTGTCCCTAAAGAGGGTAGGGATCCCACTCCCGACCTTTGATGGGGTACAGTTGGTGCCAGCATCAGAGGTTAGGAGTCTGGGAGTGCTCCTGGATGCCTCTTTAACAATGGAGGCTCAAGTAGCAGCCACTGCCAAGTCAGCCTTTTACCATCCTCGGCTGATCAGGCAGTTGGTTCCCTTCCTCAAACGCAACAACTTGGCAACAGTGATCCATGCAATGGTCACCTTGAGATTAAACTACTGTAATGCTCTCTACATGGGGCTGCTCTTGTCGCAAATCCGGAAGCTGCAGTTGGTGCAAAATGTTGCGGCCAAGCTGTTGATGGGTCTCTCTATGCAGGAGCACATCCAGCCTCTGCTGAAAGCATTGCACTGGCTGCCAATACCATACTGAATTCACTTCAAGGTGCCGTTTTTGAACTTTAAAGCACTTTATGGTCAGGGTCCGGTATACTTGAGGGATTGCCTTTCCCCATATGTTCCCCAGAGAGCACTAAGCTCAGGGGCCCAAAACTGGCTGGCCCTCCCAGGCCCCAAAGATGCTAGACTGGTGATAACCAGGGTCAGGATCTTCTCGGTGGTGGCTCCATACTGGTGGAATGACCTCCCAGAGGAGATCAGGGCCCTGCAGGAACTTTTACAGTTCCACAGGGCCTGTAAGACAGAGCTCTTCCACCAGGCTTTCGTTTAGAAGCCACCTTAAACACCAAGGAGTGACCCTGGGCCCTGGTTTTACCACCTTCAGTCTTTCTCGCCACATAAATTACTCGATCAAATTGAGCCAATTTGAGAATACCACCAAGACTATCCCCTAAGTAGTGGTATGGTTGGATTTAGGAATATCTGTTCTGCACTTTAATTGTTTCTGGCACTTTTGAAAATGGATACTGATTGTTTATGGATGTTTTATGTATGGTTTTAATTGTATTTTGTGGAAAGCACACACTGAATTTTATGTAAGCCGCCCTGAGCCCGCCTTGGCAGGAAGGATGGAGTAAAGATCAAACCAATAAATAAATAAATACATAAATAAAACTTCTCAACAGTGGTCATCACATTGCCTAAAAACCTTTCTAAAAGATGGGTCCAATGCTACTTGACCTCTATGTGTCTAGGCAAGTAAATGTTCATCATAGTGGCTTTTGTGCAGTCTCACATTGGGACTGTGTGTGCACAGGCCAGCGAGGGAAAGATTTCCAATGCTTCCTAGTAGACTAGAAGTTGCCCTCCTCCCTCTGGTGAGTTCCCACCAAAAAGGGACCAGGAGGAGCTGTGCTACTCCCTTAGTTCTCTTTGACACCATGAAGACAGGATCTCAATTGCTGTTTTGTTTTGTTTTCCTAACTTCATTCTTAAGGCTTCACTCTTTCTCTAGAACATTTCCTTTTTGTCATCAATACTCATTCTAGAGAACAATAAACTACATTTAAAAAAGAAATATTTCTAGATTTCCATTGTGTCATTATGGCTCAAACAGCGCCTCCTCAGGATCGTTCCTACTGTGGCTTTAAAATGGTGCTGATAAACACCCATTCTCTGTGCCTTAACTTCCTAGGGGTTCAAACAACAGAGCTGCCTGCTTTTTCTGTCATCAATTGCCCCTGAAGTCATGGTTTGATAGAGCTGGACTCAAAAGAGTTATTGTTCAAAGGCTTTGGGTGATTTCCCACAAGCGCTGCTCCACTCTCACTCTTCTCTTTGGCCAGATGGTACGTGTCAATTTCACATAAGCTGCTGCGTGACCGCATTTTGCCCCGCAGCTTCATGCGATTTTCCCCGCGTCTACTCAATCCTGTTTTTTGAGGATTGAGTAGACGTGGGGAAAATCGCACGAAGCTGCGGGGCAAAATGCGGCCACGCAACAGCTTGTGTGAGATTGACACGTACCGTCGGGGCAAAAGGGAGGAGTGAGTGCGGAGCAGCGCTTGTGGGAAATCACCCTTTGACTGTGTGCCAGCCTGAATAAAGGACCTTTCCCCCTCCCTGGTGAGGTGTAGTATGACACAGCCTCAGATTGACTGGTTCTTTTCAAAGGCTTTGGCTGCATGCCAGCCTGAGTAAAAGAACATTCTCCGTCCTTGGCTTTGTCTGTGAAGGCACACATCCCTCCATCCTGCCCTGCTGTGAACTCTATGAACCCTTAATTTCTTGGGGTCTCTGGTGACAGCATGGAGTGAACTGACAGTGTAAAGCCCCTCCTCCTGGTCATGTGGTTGTTTTGGTGGGAAAGCACCAGAGGGAGGGAGGGTGCTTCTAGTCTACTAGAAAACTTTGGAAATGTTTTCTGTGGCTGGTTTGTGCACATAGAGTTCCAAGGTTTGCCTGCACAGAAGACCACTTGGTGAACAACAATTACAGGTAAGTGCAACCCATTACAGGTAAGTGGTAACCCATTCACAAAATCTACCCACATGTACATCTTACATTTTAATAACAGGAAAGGTTAGCTTGGGATCAGCAATGACTTTTCAGTTTCCTGGAGGGAGGATAGGGCTCAACCTGGTCCAAGCCCATATTTAGTAATCTATATTAAATTGTTTTAATATGAAATTATTTATATTTCCAAAAACCATATGACACCAACAATTAATCATGTGATCTTATTTTTTCCACTCATAATAATCTGAATCTCAATGAAAGAAAGAGAACCCTGTGAAAGGAGAGGAAAGATGTCATTCATTCCTTCACTGAGACAATTTGAGTAAATATTTCATTTGTGTGTGAGGTCACATAGTGTGCTTTGCGGCTAATTGGGGATTTGTATTCTGGTCTCCCCAATCTTAGATCAGTGCTCTAATAGCTACAGCACTCACATACTGGATAATCAGTACAAATCTCCAAGTGAATCTCAGAATCCACAGTAAATGATGGCTTCTCAGATACCCTGACCTGAAAATATGGGAGCATTTATTTGGTTGAAGTAGGGTCCAGGACAGCAGAATCACCTCACTTTCCATATTTGAAAACCAGCTTTATCTCCTCACCCCACATATACAGATGCACAGAGCCCCCCCTCCTCAAGGCTAAAGAGCCTTTTCTTCCCATTTCTCCCATTTATTTCCCTCTAAAGTTACAAGTCCCAGGATATCAAAATCACCTTAACTTCAACATTTGAGCCACAGGCCTCTCCTCCCCCTCCCCCACAACACACATGGCTAAAGACAGAAATATTCACATCTCCTCCATTTCTTTTTCTCTAAAGCTTCAAGTCCCAGGACACCATAATCACCTTAACTTCCAGTATTTGAGTCACAGACCTCTACTCCACACACCTAACACACATGGCTAAAGACAGAAATATTCCCATCTCTATTTCTTTTTCTCTAGAGCTGCAAGTCACAGGATGCCAGAATCATGTTAACTTCCAGTACCTTGTCTGCTTCAGTGATCCACAGGTTGAGAGTAGGGGTGTTAGGCAGAACTCCCAAAGATCCCAAGGGGACGGGGATCCTAGTAGGCTATGAGATATTCAGGGAAGGCCAGCAAAAGGTAATCAGCTCACCTGCCTTCTTGACAATAATTAGATTTTGCATTCAGGAAGACTTGCATTTGCTGATGATATTACCTTGATAGACCAAGGTGGGAGATTTTGCATTCAGGAAGACTTGCATTTGCCTTTTGATATTACCTTGATAGACCAAGGTGGGTGCCTGGCTTTGCAAGCTACTGTGGCAATGGGTAGATATGCAGATGCCACATTAGTGAGTTGACCTCCCACCCAAGGTTTTGGCCACTGATTAGCATGGCCTGAGGAGAGTCTTGACCTCACCTTCTCCAGAGCAAGGCATAGCTAGCTCCTAATATGGCTGCCAAGGCAAATTTAGCCCGGGTGGAATTAGAGCAGAGCGCACACATCTAGGTAGGAATGGGGTTCTTGCTAACACTCCCCTACTCCCATAGCTAAAGATAAAATGGAAATGGGACCATTTCTTTCTCTAAGGTGGGGCCACCAGGACACAGTAATAATGTAATCATTAGTATCCCATATGTGAAGGCAAACCATAATTCTCTTGATCCATTACTTACATCAGATAGTTACAGAAAGTAGAGTGTTGGCCTGCAGTGGAACAGCTAGATTTGAGTCCAGTATCATCTTAGAGACTGACAAGATTTTGGGGGTATAAGATTTTGAGAATCAATACTCCCTTTGCTGCTTGCTTGCTTGCTTGCTAAGCAGCCCTTACATCTATTTTCTTCTTATTTGTTGGTCTATGGCTGTCCCACCCTGTCACATTATTA